AAAAAAAAAAAAAAAAAAAAAAAAAAAAAAAGAAGTTCATTTGTGTCATTCAAGCCAAAAGTAAAGGAAAAATTTGACTACTTGTTTTCAACCTTAAGAATTTTCCCAATCACTGAGAAATCTTAATACATGTGTCTAATGCAAAATACTACAAATCAGAAATATACAAACCACCTATCAAATAACACCTAAAATCCCAAAAAAACAAAACAGCCAAACCAAATTCTGCAAACTTCTAGGTTTCGGGAATTCAGAATATTACACTGCCACAAAAAAATGAATTGCCTTTTCACATTTTCCAGTGAATAGAAAACAGCCATAACTTTGAAAGAACATTAAAACACCACAGTTCTAATGAAAACAAACTCAGACAAGTGGCTTTATTTACAATTTCACTTTGAAAAAAGTTCCTTAGACCTTTCCAAACACAGATAGAAGACCTTGGAACATCCTATTCAAGCAACCACTCAAAAACAGCAGGCATTCTACCTGACAAAGTCAAAGCAAAACCACTGAAGTTTCACATGACAGAGGGTAATTTTGAGGCTAAACAGTCTGACCTTTCATAAGTTCGGGTCTCATGAAATATGAACCACATTTATATTTTTAAACCTGAATTTCACAAATTTAAAAGAGGTAATATAAGCCTCAATTTCACCAAACCGAAATAATTTTTGAGCACATCCTCCTAACCCTCTCAATTTTGCAAGAGGATTTATCAATAAAAATGTCTAGCCCTCTTCAAGCTTTTCATGATCTTTACAGCAGGCATACAGATTTGGACTTGAATATTTCTGGAATGTTATAGAAAGTAAAAAAAAAAATGGTTTTATGTTTAAGATAAGTGATAAATTGATAAAGACTGCTTATAATTTATTCACAAAAACCACTTTTCAGTGGACTCTGACAAATTCACCATATGTTTGAACTTGATATACCAAGGGATGTTCATTATTGCTCTTAATGTACTTGGAATTAAATCTGTTTAACACTGCTGTGGCAAACGACGGATGTTCATCGAGTCTACATCTCATTCCTTCTTCCTCCGTGCAAAAGAACACGTTTCCCTGAAATTAGCTTTTTTTAATTCATCTAAATCCCCTGGAGTAATAAAGGAACTGAAGCAGTTGGTACGCTTTCGACAATTGCATTTAGATTTTCAGCCTAACGACAATTTCGAAAGACCTCGACAAATTCGGTTAAATCCAATCAACGGGACACTAGGAGGCTTGCATAAAAATTGGGATCAATATCAAATGCCCTCAGATCAGGGGAAAAAAAACCTATGATAAAACAAATATTAATATTAAAACTTCACTACAGCAACTTCATTACATATTCCAGTAAAAGACGAAATTCTTAATTAATATTTCACAACATTGCCACTCCAATGATGATCATATTATGGTAGAAATCGTTTCATTTCTTCGACAATTTCACTTGTGTCTTCTCTGTTGGATTTATAAATTCACTCTCTTTTCGCTGTCTAATTTTCCCATGCAGTATATATTAGAAGTGAGATCAGTCAAACGTCACGACAATGGTACTTCGACGGTAAAATATATTTTGAGCTTGAGTAGCGCGTTCGCTGACCCGAGAAAACCGCGAAATTGGGAAAACAATCAACTTCACAATAAAAGAAATACATATTCCATTCCGATTAATATCAACATTCAATAGCCTCGGGCAATGACATCCTGCGCAAAACAACAGTCGATTCTAAATTTAACATTGGCTTGTGATTAACACTGCAGCCGAAAAAAAAAAATGGAGGGGTACTTGTGCGACTTTCAACAGCAACGATAAAACTTCAGTAGAGTAATCTCCCCAAAACATGTGCTCTGAAATAAACGGTGCTGGTTCATCATGAAACTCGATTGTTCGACAGACATAAAGCATACCCTGTCGGCTTTACGAAAAGTTTACCAAATGACCACGTTGTTGAGCCAAGAGGCAGCCCAGAGCGGAAAGTAATTTAATACCAACGGTTTGGAATACTTTGCCGAAAGATCGCATCACGAACTCTTCAAAATCTCGATTCAGAGTAAAATCCTATTCAAAACGTACCACAGACTGCCAAAAAAGCGAGATGTATCCATTGGAAATGCCACAGAAGGAATTATTTTCTCAGAGAAGCTCAATTCGTGGGAGCTTATAACACACAACCAGATAAATTTTAAGCTTGTTTTCTTGGACATTCCAAAGAGGAGATAGAAAGATAAGGTTACAGAAGCAGCTATCATTATTTACTTTGATAATTTCCAAATTTACGGTAAATCCTTCGATTCCGTCGTCTTCTCTGTCCACACGAATCAACCTCCCTAGAAGCGCGTGCAATTTTCGCAAAGCTTTGAAAATGTTTAACTGACTTAGCGTGTATTCTTGTTTGGCGTATTCAAGGATTACCTAAAACCGGAATGACAGAATATTTAGTGTGACATAATTATTGCTTCAGGCTTATGCGTAAAGTAGCATCAAGCATGCACATTGATGTTTACTTTTAAATTTTGTTCAATTTCCTGTGGAGCAAGCCGGATCGACCTATATTGAAGAAAATGACCTCTAAACATTCCCGTACAGACTAAATACTCACGGTCACACCGATCTACGATTAACTCGAAATAAAATCAACGCAGATGCAAGTTTTCGTTGTTGAAATCAGCTTAACGCGAAGAGCGCGTGCATTAAAATCGCTGTGTTCCGTACATTCGAAATGCCAACGGATTCATTTTTCACTCGCAAACTTTTACCACACGCTTTTAACACTTTGTACATTTTGTCGTAAATGACTCACCGTCAAATGCCTTCTCCTGAAGGTGAAACTGTCTCTTCAATTCGCTAACTTTCGACGAGACCGCCTTGTCAAAATCATCGCTCGCCAAGACAGCGAAGCGATCTTCCATTTGCTGTGAGCAGCATTGCTTACCGTTGTCTTTTGGGCAAACGCGAAGGTCATCTCCTGAAGTAAAGACAAAATGTGTTAGCGATAATATCAGAATGAAAAGCGAACTTTACTAGGTGACACCCCATGCCGAGAGAAGACCATTAACAAAACGTAGGTATCACTGAGAATGGTCAGAAACAACCACATATTTATAAAGCACACGGAGTGTTGGTATGGCACACTTTGTACAGCACTGTATACCTCTCACAGCCCATTGCGGCACATCACTATCTGTCAACCTTTTTTGTCTGTAAGCAGTCTTCACTGAAGCACAAGACGGTTCGTTATCGTTATCTTGACCAAAACCAGAAGAAACGGTGGCAAGCACAACAAGGAATACGTAGAAAGAGACCATTGTTGATAAAACTCCGAACGCAATCAACTGTGCTCTAAACACAAAATCTCGTCACTTCACAAGCTTTACCGCACCACGGAATTCGTGAGTCGCTAGCTATAAGTTCGCCTACGCTTTCAGTCAAGTTGACCTAAATGCTCCAACGGTAAATGTTTGACTAAATTGTAACAGTGGGAAAGCAGTAAAACATAAATTCACCCGCTGGGCCAGTGATCTGAGTCCGCGCTAATTACTTCGCTTGTTCTCGTTGACAAGCTTGGACAATTACACTTGGACATTACGTATTCTGAGGCGGGATCTTTTTACCGCTAACCAATCAAAACTCAAATATCGTGAATTCCACAAATCACCCATTTATTTATATTTACATGCCCTAAGCCGAGGGGTTTTTTTAGCACAACGATTGCCAAGAAAATTCTACGCAGTAAATAACCAACAGAGATACAAACAAGATTAAAGACTGATTAGAAAAATTCGAGTGAGAAAAAAAATCGCCCCCGCTAATTTCCGCATGCATTAAACAAACTTGGTTAATTTAACAGATAAATACTCCAGTAATCGCATCAAAAACGAAAAAAATCATTACAATAGCAGTAGGTCAGATCCTTTGTATGAAAGGAAACTTAAGAAAGAAAAAGGCGTTGTATTTAAGGCTCTGTAAGACCAAGCAATATTCCAAGCTGAGGTGTTAATGGCACTCTCTATTGCCCTGAGAGTTCTTTCCTTCAAATCTCTTTATTTTCTCGTGGTCTAGTCTGAAAGGCTCTCTAAATATTTAACATCACATGTACAGCACACTCTGGATTTACGCGTCTAAGGTAAAACAGTAAGACAACATAATTCAACGCGTCAACGCGGCTACATAAGCAAGTTTCAATTCTTTTGTCTTAGAGAGAAAGCAAAACCAAGGAAGTTATTAATCTTGACTGACTGTGCTTGACAGATAATTCAAACTTTTAGAAAGGAGCATATTTCGGCTGATTGTATTGATAAAATGGTGGGGAGATCGATGTGTCAGCACCTTTCCATCAAAAATTGCCTTTGGAAACTCAACGTTCCTCGTTTAAATTCGCTTCTGAAAAAAAGGGCATTTTATTTTCGATCGCAAGTCGCTTGGAATCGAAGTTTTGAAAGTGACTCGTGAACAGACAGAATTGCCACTTGTTAGCACTTAATCTTACTGCTGAAAAAACCCCACTCACTCATAAAAAAAACAAAACAAAACAAAAAAAAAACAAATCCAATCGTATATAAAAAAATTTACGGAACAATTCATAAAATACACAGATAACGATTGATTTAGGCTGTAACGCGTATTCTTTTTATCCCCTGCTAAACTAGCCAAACCGTTACCTAACAGAAATTTTAATCACCGTTTGCCCGTCAGGTAAATTAAATAAGCAACTGATTAACTTCCTTCTTGCTTAGTATCACAGTAAACTTTCCCCCTTTTTATGCTTGTGCCCTGAAAGGCTACATCGGCGGAAAATACGTTGGATTGAAAGGAACGTACGTGACGCTCCGGCGGACACAAAGTCACAGAGTTCTCGTTTGTTCTTGTGATGAAGGACAAGTCCCTTGGGTGGTAATTTAAACGGAATTTACACAGCAGAAAAAAGATTCGGTTAATGAGCGGTTTGTGGGGAGGGTCTTTTTGAAAAAGAGTTATTTACATTCCAGTGTAACAATTGAAACTTAAACAAAAAGAATGACAAAGATACGAATTAGGCGTAGACTTGCACAAACGAGCAAACGAGGAAAAGAGGAAACGGGTAGTTCTTTTTCTAGCTACACTAGCATCCCGTTTTCAATATTGAAATACAGTACTGAAACTGATCTTGACTAAGGAATGTTTATTTAGTTACAATAAGCTGAATTTTGGCCATTCTAGAAATTCCTGAGGAAACCAAAATAACTGACTATACCACCTTGTAATGCTTTTACAGAGTCACCCGCACTTTTCACCAACTCCTAATATTTTTGTGCTACATCTGGACATTTTATTGCAATCGGCGCGTCCGAGATTCAAGGAACATTTTATTAAATCTGTACGCGAAACAAGACCCCAGCCCATTAAAGTTTTAAGCTTCAACTGAATTATTATAGCTTTAACTCCAATAAGGGGCTTTGACTTAGTAAGAGCCCCTTTTTTTAGCTTTCAGTGGAGTAATTAACGTTTAATGCTTTCTTCTTAGTGTACGGATTTGACTGATGATGTCAATTACACTTAAGTGTTAGGTATTTAATTGAAAAACAGCCAAACTGGAAAAGGCTTAATTCTATTGTTTGCAAAACCGTAGTGGTTTCACCAACTCTGAACATTGTTTTTATATCTTTCAAACCAGAACTTAAGATAAGTTTATTTATCCTTTTGTTTTGACAAGGCTCAGCTCGTAAACAAATCAGAAGGTTGGACTCAATGTAAAGTCGCTGAAGTCAGCAACAAATTTAACAGGTGGTGAACAAAATGACTAAGGCATGGCAATAGTGGAAAACCATGCCACAAATCGGTGGCTTTGTTTTAAAGTAACACGTGTAACTTGATAACTTTTCGCTCGCCATAGAACACATGGCGGGGGCAAATAAAAAGATTGTGGACAATTTGTCTTCATGGGATACAACAAAGGCCAACCTTTAATTAACTCGCCGATGCGCCTTCGGCTCTTATTTTTCAGTCGTGCAACAAGACGCTATGTTTGTCTTCCAATTTGAGTTCATCTTGAGGTCGGCCCAGATTAAACTATCCTTGGGTTAATCTAATATATGTTCTCGCAATTTATAGCAAATCTTAAAGTAAACACGTCGTTGCTGGAATTTTCTAGAGACATGAGAGAGAGAGATACAACATTAAAACAGGCAATTCTGGGTTGTCATCTTTTTTTCAAGTCAGTTTTGAGATAACAAAAGCCAGAGGAAAAGTTTTGGAAATTTAACGTTTCCGGCTTGCGTGGGTCAAAGTTTAGTCTTGGGAAACCCATTTTCCGACGACGTGCTCAAAAGAGGTCTTTCTCGTCATAAACTTGACCTAGTAGTCGAAGTTCTCACTCAACTAGTATCAAATTTTCAATACTACGCGTTCAGTAATTAATTGCGATGGTATCAGATACTACAAAATTCCCTTTCAATAACCATGTCAAGTAAAGGTGCAAAAAAAAAAGTCTTAACTAGTTAGACTTAAATCAAAACAACAGAACAACCGGCTTGTTACCTTGTAAGCACACGTGGAAAGGGTAGATATTTGAACTAACTTACTCTGTGCGCTGATAACAAACGCTCGCGAAACCGCGTGTTGTAATCTATATCTCATCACGCGATATCGCCGGAACTGCTCTGTTTTTCTTATTTTAGCCATTCTTTGCTATTTTAAAACAATTTGGTGGCTCACAAAGGTAAATCTTTCGAAATAAAACAGAAACTGCAACCGGAAAAAGATTGAAAAAGAAACAACTGTTTTCCAACTCAATGTCATCCTGCATTCAAATCTGAACAGTGATAATACTACTGTTCCGAGCTTTCTTGAGACCCGAGTACTCCCGAGAGGTTATATCCGTCCTAACCGATTAGGAAAGGTGAGGGGACGAGTATTTCCGAAGTATGGGCGAGGCTGGGGCAGACCCAGTCGATGCATGACGACACGTCCATACATTCCGACATACACTTCACTGGGAAAGCAGAGCGAAAAAAATGACAATCTGACCGCTTATTTCTGTATATTACATCAAAATATTTTGAAAACACCTGAAATAAAAAATCTTAATAAATTACATTAAAGTATAGATAAAAGATAAATTTGTGTAAAAACTTTGTAAAAGTATCCAAAATTTGAATGAAATTATTCAATACCGCATACATTTGAATCTTTCTAATAAATTGTACAGCAAGCTTTTTGGAAACTTGCATCCTCTCTAAGGAATTTTAAGTTAATAAACATCCTTTTGAAGTTCACTGGAAATAAAGGTTATTTCTTACGACATCTGGTGAAAAATTCACCATTTGCAGCGATGGATACAAAGGTTCTTAAAAAAAGCCTGCTTCTAAGGTTATATTCAAAATATTTTCTAATCTATCAAATTCATCTCAATTAATCTTTATGAGCGACAGTCAAAATGCAGACTGAACAATATAAATACTTTAGCAGCATCCGGGATCTTTTATTTATGAGGACAGTTTCATGTTCCACGGCTCTTGGCAACTTATGAATTTGTCCTGCAGCTAGGAGATGTCTAAAATTTCATAATTGAAATAAAGTGATTCTTATCTGCCGGCTGGAATTTCAACATATCCTGTCTTAAACCTTTTAAAGATATGATCAGTACTCAGGCCGGTTAGAATTATCTTCGTCTTGGAAAAAAGGCTGATGTTTTTTTGGTTCTCAAAGACCCTGGAACTGAGAAGGTGAGTCGAGAAGGCGGTCCCATTTGAAAGAAGGGAACTTGCGCAATACATCGTTTGTAGTCAGAGAGAATCATTAAGCCGAGGAGACACTTCCAGAACACTCTTGGTCGTGCTTTTAATGATATTTAGAGCAGGTTGAACTGAACGCATGGTCGATTGTTCAGTAAAGCTCGAGGCAATGAAGTGAAACAGGGCAGACGAAATTGCGTGTCATTTATCACTTTAATAATGGCCTCTCGAGAAACTGAGAACAAAGACATTTTTTGTGATTAATTCTAATGTCAGCTAATGGTTACCTTGGCTGGAAAACACAATTAGACTCCACTTACAGGGGGGACAGTCATTCAAGAGCCCGCAATTAACGATTCGTTCCACAATTGTGAACCTTCACTGCGGTCGCAAACTCATGATATACTTCTTAACTTTCATTGCGAAGAGTTAGCAAAACTTCTTGAAAGGATTTGAAAGCATTTCCCTCCATGTAAACAAATCACTATTTTTAATAGACGGTCACTGAGATCAGAAGCGAAATGTTTGCAACTTTCTTAGTTGAATGTTTTTATCAGGACTTTCAGAAGGGGTTTACTGATTTTAATAATAAAATTTAAACTATTAACTGATAGCTCGTGGGCGCCATCATAAGGATAAAAGTGTAATCAAAGGGCGGTGAAATCGCGTGATTAAATTAAAAATGAATGTTTCATATCAAAAGCACTCTGTCATTTTATAAATAAATGAGCTCTACAAAAAGGAAATATCGAAAGCCAGTTTCCGGATTTTGTGAATCTCCTAACAGCCTGAAGCGTACAAGATAAAATAAAAAACTTAACAAAAATTTTTGTTCAT